TATAACATTAATATAGAGAGAAGGTCAACAATGGAGAGCGCGTGAACATCCAATTCATATCAATCAAGTTGTATGGCACAGCCTTGAAGGAATCGGCATTCTGAATAACTCTTCTTTACCCATATTAAATATAACATTCTATCTCTAGCCTAAATGTGCTGTAGCTGTAAATAAATACCCAAAATCAATAGCTCTGTAAGTTTTCGACATTGGATGCTCACCACATTAGTTTTGATTTTCTCATTTAGCTGAAGGCGCCTGCTCATGCATCCGCATCAGATCACGGTTTGGAAGGGCGTGCGCAACGTCTCCTGCGATCATTAGCCAGATTAGATCAGTCATTCCTTGATATATTGATAGTCTATTAAGTTTATCTTCGAACCTCTTCGCTTCTGACTTTTGATTTCACTGGGTGGGCACGATTCAACAATGAAAGTTGTTACTGGTGAAGTGTTGTCAAACTACAATACCTGTGGTATCTCCAGTGTTATTTACAAACTCCAGACATCATATCGTTAATTGTTATGATACGACTAGCCAGTGAAGAGAGTGATGTGACTTCCACGTAAAACCTTAAGGATTAGACAGTCATATCATTGTATGTTTACAATTTTAGGATTAGGCCTATTATTATAGCAATATTATTAACGGAGTGGATCATAATATTACATGTTAGCCGTCAAGTCTAAACACATCTTAGAACATGCTTCCAACAAAGCACTGCTCGCTGTTCCTAGTACTGAGGAATGAGGTGTTTGCTGGTTATCAAGATCTTCCTTCGTCCTTCACGATGGACACTGACGTCCCTGTGTCAAGTAAAATAGTGGTTTCGAATCACTGCAAACTATCACTGATTGTCATAGGAAACACAGATTCAGCGCAGTATGAATACAAGTGGTAAAATTTGGCTTTACCTTGAGACCAGAACCGATTGCGTCCGCACTTTCAGGTTCTCGAGACTGTAACGGTATTGATCCTAACCACAGAATCCCCAAAGCTGAACATCAGATAACTGGGAAAATATATATTCAATATTTGACTAGGAAAGAAAGCCAACGAGGGGAAACGCGCGAACAATTAATTGACATTCAGTCGAATGCCATGGATCAGCCTCGCAGACGTATTTATTCTGTATAACTTTTCTTCAATCACATTAAATACGTTGCACTATCTCTAGCCCGAACATGTTCTTCAAAAGCGCTAGACGTTATAGTGCTGAAGTCAGAAGCGAGGAGGTTCGAAGATATATTTAACAGGCTATAGATATATCGAGAAGTGACTTACCTAAGCTGACTAGCGGTTGTAAGAGAAGTTGAGCACGGTCTACTCACTCATGATCTTGTGTGGATGCATGACCGATCGCCTTTAGCTAGATGAGTTCAGCAAAACTAATGTGGTCAGTATCAAATGTCGAGAACTTACACAGCTATTGATTTCGGGGATTTATTTACCACTACAAGTTTATTGGATATCCATCAACACTTAGTAATCGGTTAAACTTGAATATTTTGGCTTATTTTTTGGTCATTTCATTTTTGTTTGTTTGCGGAATCAAAAACCTTGTGTGTATCATTGTTGTTGTTCTTATTAATGGCTGTCTGATAGGTTTCTTAGCTTTGTTTATATTTCAACTTTTCGAAACGTCTGCTGTAATAAGCATTATTAAGCAATCGAATTAATTCTTTACCATCAGGGAGGAAATGTTCTATGCTGCATGTAATACATTATTTCATAATACTTACCTACTTAATACCGGGAAAGTTATGGCGGCTGCAACTCTGGAAGCATTTCGTGCCAATAGACGTCGGTTGCCAACTGGCATCCATATGCATCCGGATAGGCCCCACGACAGCAGGATTAAGCACAAACGAAAGCTGGAGCTGACAATTCCACTCGTGGACTGTCTTGATCATAAAAAAACGTGTAAAGGACAGGGACTACCAACTCGGTAAACATAGTATAGGTAGGCTACCTGTCCACTCACACACGGCTCATATAGACAAACAAGAAGAGGCTCACGCGTTCCAAATTGAAAGCATAAACTGCCTATACACGAACGCCGCGAGCTTGCCAAACAAAATGGACGAGCTACGTGAACTTAGCAACGCTAATGATGCCCATCTGATAGGAATATCCGAAACTTGGATAACGTCTCAGTTTACGGACCAAGAGTTAGCAATAACTGGGATGTCTTTATTTCGCAACGACAGAAAAACAGGAATGGGGGGTGGGGTAGCACTATACGTACGGTCATGCCTGGATGCGCACCAACTTCACAACCAAGAGTTTCACAATCTTGACGAGTCAGTATGGTGCTCAGTAAGATTATCTACCACCTCGAGGTGCCTAGTTGGGGTCGTTTACAGGAGGCCCACTGCCGACATCGAATATGACAAACGTCTGCTGGAAGGATTAACTCGCTCTACGCGTCTTGGATTCTCTCATATCCTGATTCTAGGGGATTTCAATCTCCCTAGAATCAACTTCGTGGAACATACATACATTGGTGGTGCCAACTCTACTGAAGCTCTGTTCTTCAACCTTATCGGCGACCTGGGATTATTTGAAAATGTGAAGTCGGCAACCCGTTGGAGAAACAGTCAGACGCCGTCACGCTTAGACTGGGTATTCACAAACGAAGAATTCCTAGTTGACGACCTCTCAATCCTGGCTCCCCTGGGCAAAAGTGATCACGCCGTCTTATCATTTAGCTTTGTCAGCAAGACGGAGCTACGATATCCTACTAGCAACAAGCGCTGGAACTTCAAACGGTTGAATGTGTTAGCTTTACAGGACTATCTTCAACAGGTGGATTGGGATGTTCGCCCTGAAATTGAAGTGGATGCTCATTGGGATTTTTTACTGCACACGATCTTATGTGCTACTGAGCATTCAGTTCCCAAAATGGTCCCAAAAAGCTACAAGCAACCTGCAATCATCAAGAACCGCACTCGTCGTTTGCTAAGCCGCAAAAGGCACTGTTGGGCTGAATATAAACGAACGGATAACAACGGCGCGTACAGGCAATACAAACATATAAGGAACACATGCACAAAGGCAATAAGAGAAGACAGGCTTCAGTTCCAGACCAAGCTTATCGATAGATTCGTCTCCAATCCGAAAAGCTTGTTCAGTTATGCAGCTTCTCTTCGACAAGGCAAAACTGGAGTTTCCTAACTGCTTGGTCCTAATGGCCCGACCAACAACGGCAGTGATGCCGCTAACCTTTTGGCTGAACATTACTCCCGGACACTCCAACTGACCCACATTAACCATACTGACGAAAGCTTCACCTGCACCTCTACAGGACTTTCCGAAGTGAACCTGAGTGCTGACTTGGTGCTCCGTAAACTGCAGAACCTAAAAAAAGACACTTCTCCTGGTCCGGACATGGTTCATTCCGCCGTACTGAGGGAAGCAGCTTCAATCCTGGCGACACCACTTAGCGTGATGTTTGCACACTCGCTAAGCAGAGGAAAACTACCGGAAATATGGAAGCTGGCCCACATCACACCAATTTTCAAAGGAGGTCGACGCAGTGAACCCTTAAGCTACCGACCAGTGGCCCTTCTCTCCATACCTTCAAAAATTATGGAATCCCTAGTATTCGACGGCATACTTGATCACTTATCATCCTTAAAGTTCTTCTCGCCTCAACAGCATGGTTTCAGAAAAGGTCATTCTTGTACGACCAACCTGCTGACTGCGGTGGATAAATGGACAACCATCCTTGATCGCAAGGGGAAGGTTGACGTCATTTACCTGGACTTCTCAAAAGCTTTTGATAGGGTCAACCATGCATGTCTTATCAAGAAGCTTGGACGATTGGGTATAAAACCCCCTTTAATTGACTGGATCACTTCATACCTAGAAAACCGACATTTTAAGGTCAGGGTTAACTTCACTCTCTCTCAGGCTATGGAATGTCCTAGTGGGGTCCCCCAGGGTTCAATACTAGGACCTCTTCTCTTCTTGATTTATATTAACGATCTTCCTCAACAAGTTTCATCTGATTTATTGCTTTTTGCTGATGATGTGAAACTTTGGAGGGAGATACGTACGCACAATGATATACTAGTTCTGCAGGAGGATCTGACTCGACTTCAAAGTTGGGCAGACGACAACGGACTTACCTTCAACACTTCAAAGTGCAAGGTAGTCCATCTGAGACATGTTGCAGACTATAGTTATAACTTAGGTAACTCCCCTCTAGAAGTTTCCCAAGTTGAAAAAGATTTAGGAGTGTTGGTACCCTACGACCTGAAATCGTATGCGAACTGTGACAAAAACGCCTCTCAAGCAAACCTTGCACTGGTAACATTGAAGCGCATTTTTGGCCAGTTTGACGGTAGAACCTTCCATATAATCTTCAACAGTTTTATTCGTCCCCACTTAGAGTACGGAAACATAGTATTTCCTCCCTCCCTCCAAAAGGATAAGGTCACTCTGGAACGTATACAACGTCGAGCCACGAAATCAGTTCGGGGTCTCAAATTCAAACCTTATGAAGAGCGCCTCAAATCACTTAACCTTTACCCGTTAGAGTATAGGCGTCTTAGAGGTGATCTTCTTATGACTTATAGTATCCTTAATACTTCTGGTCATCCCCTTAAACAACTTCTTAAGCTTAGTCATAACACTAATCTCAGAGGTAACACCCAGAAATTGGAGACCCTACATAGCAGAACAGACTGCAGACACAACTTCTACTCCGTTAGAGTTGTCAAGTGCTGGAATTCGCTGCCGACTGAGCTAGTCCAAGCGACTTCCCAGGAGTCCTTTAAGAGAAAACTTGACTTATTCTTAAGGACTAAGGATAACATATTATTATGATTTACCAAATTCTTTTTTTCCCTCTATTATCGTTCATATACCTAGGTTTTTGCCTGGAGGTATTGGTGATCCACTGCTATCAGACACGGAAGCCCGTTAAGCGAAAGCTTCTTCTATTCCGTCCTCAACCATTTGAACCATTTGAATTATAGAGCGGAGCCAAATCTGAACGTGCAGGTAACTTCAGGGTCACAGAACATACTTATTGTTAACGAGTTACATAATTTCTTCAAGGAGTTGTTGCACATTGACTCTATTATGAGTGGTTTCACTCAGAAAATATGTTATCTTTTATTAAACGCAATGGACTGTTCGGACTTCTGTTTTCGGCTTTGTTGTTAACATAAATGGCTGTAGATATTATTTCGAATTAAGATAGAAGGTTTAGGACATAGAGTTTAAGTTAAGGTTTAGGACTATGCATCAAATTACATATACGTTAACTATAAATCACAGACTATGATCTTAACTGTAACCCTGAATCCTATCGAGAATTTTAATTATAACATTTATGTATGCGTATATCCTAATTCGCAGTCACAATCTCTATCCATATCTATCCATACTTACTGCTTTCTGAATAACTGAATAAAATCTGACAAGGTAGTTTAAAGACGCTCAAGTCCGCTCTTATATTTGTGTAGCCGGTGCTTGAAGCTGTTTTTCCATTCGTTTAAAACATCACTGAGCCAAGAGGCTATAGTTAGCCGTCGTAATATTAGAAATTCTGGTGTGGATAAAAAAGATTATTTTATCGTCGCTAGTAAAACTACGATAAGCACCATGAAAAATCCCGTTGCAAAACGAGAGAAGTCTTCGATAAAGAACGAACTTTTATAGAACAGCAAGCTAATCTTACGTGAGAGTTATATCTCGAGTCATTTCAACTGATAGTCTGAATATATATCAGTGACTTAAAAGGTCATAATATAAAAGGTCCAATTGATGGTGAATAGAAATAAGCGAGGAGACAAAAGAAGGAAAGATCGAATTGTGCCTGGTACTATTGCGTGAAGCATGGAGGGATCGGGTGACTCGGATCCTTAATCCAGACTTCCACATGCTTCAGATTAAGTTGAGCTGTTTGTCTGTGGCATATTCCCGAACTATTCTTCAGGTGTTCATGTCAAAAACTAATAAGCTTAAGCAAGAGAGCCAATTGTAGTATTGATCCCTCGCCACGTAAACTTCTTAAAGTCTGAGTAACAAAATTTCAAGTTAACTTGTTCCCCGGAGAAAGATAATAACGATACGCGGGTGTAACTGGAAGATAAAATTAGGAGGAAGATGGATCCAGCTGAAGGAGTAACCTGGAGATTGTTTAGTGCGACTACGAACTACTACTCGCTGCTTATTAAAATAAACAAGACCGATATGGTTACTCAAGAAAGCAAATAATACTGCAGAAGGATGCTTTATTCAGCAATTACTAATTAATACATTCATAATGAAAATGAATATCATTTTAAATCTTCGGTCAATAAATAAATTTGGATGAAAGCAACTGGAGTTAGTTAATAATCTGACGTGTAGTATAACTTTCATAGTTAATAAATTAATTGACTTGACTGAAAAATAGGACTCATCCCTAGTTTATGTGTTTGCTTCATTTCTAACAATACTTCTAGGCTAACTTTGCTGTTCTTTTCGTAAAATAAATGAAAAATATTGTTTGGACTGGTTTTCTACGTCATGAGGAAGGAATATTTTTCTGACGATTGGACAACACGCCATTAGGTCACGTCTTTCATGTTTGACTTATCTGATTCCGAAATTGCAACAATATGCAAAGGCTGAAGACTTGTGTTTGTAAGCGGTGAATCCTAGCATGCTCATGGCATGGTAGGTCGATCATTGTGACAAATTATTCAGGTAGATAATAGATGGCCCAAAATGCCCTGGTACGGCAGAGAGTGGGGAGAGTCTGCTCTCCCTCTCGAAATGCTCTCATATGGCCATGCAAATATATAGCCTCTGCCAGGGAAGTCCTACTCACTGCCTTCTCGTGGCGGGGGTATTGTTCACAAAAGTGAGAGGACGAAAAGCAAATGTCCGGCGCTTTAACCGGGTTGGTGGATGTGGAGGATCCACCTAGGGGAGTTGGAAAACCCTGGTTTCAAACCAATGGTGTACATGGGCTCCAGTATCCCGAGGGAACGAATCAATCGTTGATCACCGGTTACCATGGGACTGCATCTCCTCACGATGCTCCACTGCCTTGTGGATCAGATCTTTCGGTCAAAGACTCCGGGTGTGGGCCCCTAAGAAAACCACCTGCTTCAGTCTGGGCACCTGGGCAGTATCACAGCCCTCACACAAATCGAATGAGATTTGTGAGGCGCATATTTATCTGGTGCTTTTTGTACCAATATTTATGTGTTTAAATAAATAAATAAGATGAAATGCTTTCAACTAACACCAATAATAAGAGTTTAAAACTCACAGTAATTAATGAGCACAGAGTCACGGGTAACTAAGATGACCATTGCCAAAAGTTTCCTTATTTTGTAAGTAATCCGTAAAGCCTGTTGTAACTTAGAAAAAGGGATATTTAGGATATTCTGCCTGACGTACGTGAGACCTTATTTGGAATACCGAGTTCAATCAACGAATCCTTGTTCCAAATATGAGACGAATATGCTAGAATGTGTTGAATGACGAAGAACCAAACTTGCCTTATCAACAGACTGGGATACCTCAACCCATTTCTGTTATCCAGTAGTAGGTTGCAAGGTGATGTAGTGCCATGTACTGAACGATGGTTTTGGTACTAATATATTTTATCTTTTTCTTCAGGTAGTCTGAAAGGACATTCTCAGATAGTTCCGAACCAAGATCAAATGGTCTAAGTCTGGAGTTGTTACTAACTGGAATTCTCTGTCAGAAGACGTAGTATCAGCACTTGCTGACACATTCAAAGAGACATTGAGTCTTCATAATACTAAAAATCTCGAGGGTTAACATGGATCACTTGACCTCTTACCCTTACCCCTGAAGACTGATTGCACCTTATGGGCTTACTGAGTTTTTGGCTCACATCTCTTGTTCATCTCTCTTCAGAATTTCCACTGTTCTCTGCATGTTTTCCCAATACTGAAGCTGCTTGCAGGGTAGAATCGAATAGCTGTATATTTTCATCTCATGGAGGGATTTACTTCTAAGGTGATTTTAGCTATCTGACCGAGTTACGCAAAAATTACATTGTCATATTTCGTTAGGTAACCAAGTTCCATTTTACTAAAATACATCCTAATGAATTCAGAAGTTTCTCGCAACTCGACTTTGACAGTCTAGAATTAAGAAATAGTACAGAGTTGCACGACCAAATGATTGTAATTTTAGGGCCCCGATTATGTGGAAATTCGATGAGAGTTAAGAGTGCTGTTTGTGAGCTACTTACTTTGGTTCTCAGTTTTACCAATGTGTATGTATCTAAATAAATAGAATCTTAAGTCTACAGAAGAAAGAAGGGTGACATCACAACCTGCAATATCGTAAATAGCTCCAACCATTGCAGCAAGGTAATCCTAACGGAGCGTCACCATGATGACGCACTGGAAAAATCCTCACAGGGTTGTTCACCAATGGGAAAATATCAAAGTAACACCCCAGTTTATACACCATGTGTCTGTTCCATATGGAACGCCCTAATAACCATCGTATCTACAGCCTCTTTAGTGGACCGTTCCAAGCAAATGTTAGCTGAGCATTAAAAAACACATGAACCTCCCTCAGCCAAGTGGGACGACCAGTGAAATCACTGAATAAGATGAAGTTGGAGAGATCAGCCTCCTTCCACCCAATGTGACATGTGTTAATATTTCTTCGTATCTCCCCACCTACATATTTGTCTTAATTACCATTTTAATCCTGCCTCACTTTTTATTCATATCTAGCCATAAATTCTTCATATCCCGTTACTGAGACTAACTAAACTAATGATAATATAATACTCTCAGTCTTAACAGCCCTATAATCCAATGAAGAGAACATGGGAAAAATGAATAAATCAAACTAACTATCGCTAGGGCTACGTCATCTGAGTTGCCAGACAAGCCTTACTGGATACAACCAAAACAGCAGGAATCATTAGCTAACAGGAAGATGCAAGCTCTCTGACATCAACTCCTATATACTAGTTCGTCACAAAGGTATTGAATAGTAGGAATGAGCATGGAGTGTGGCATTTTTAGAGTGATACTGTTTGGTTTCCGTTGCTGCCTACATGCACGATATGGGCGCAAGCCCGGTAAACAAAATTGGAAGCTTTTAATGAATTATAAGATATTCGGTTATTTGTTATTTTGTAAACTAGTTATAAGTTTGTATTAAAATTTCTGTGGTCAGCAATTTTGTGGGACTAAACGTGTGATATAATAACAAACTTTGGAGCCGAAATTTTAGTCAAGTCCAAATGCTGCGTAACCCCACGCTTTTTACGAACGTGGCCTCAATTTTGACTTATGGTTTGGCCCCACAAAACTGTTAACCTAGTAGTTTTTCGAAAATTTTTTTTTAAAACTCTTGCTGTTTTTTATTACGCAAACATTTACAAATGCATTTCAAAATGTCAGATTTTCAGCATTTTGTGAACCATAAGACTTGGGTTAGATGTTTCAGTCTCCGAAGTTTATATTTAAGTTATAACTTTCCACTTCATAGTATATCTAATATTTGGCAGTATAAAGGTTGCGAAAAATCGCGTGCGGTTATCAATCAGTCACTCAACCTAAATAGCTGTACCTAGTTTTCGCTGTATTCAGAGACTTTTGCTCTTCGAAGGGTAACATGAGTGAGGAAGTGGATTTCGGCCATACAGAAACACTCAATAAACGTTCCGAATTCGTAAGGTGGACTTCAATAAAAATATCGATTCTTATTCATAAATGGTTTACGAATAAGACTGTACAAGGGACACACGAAATAAATATTATTTGTGGTGAAATAGATTATTGAAACTCCTGTTTTAAGTTCAAGACCTACTTTGACTATCAGTATGAACACTGGCAAAGTTTTTGTCCAAAAATTGGAAATTAATGAAAAGGCACCTAAGCAGTTTGTTGCAAAAAGTGGATCTATTGATAGAAGTTGGAAGTATATGCATGGAGGAGTTGCCCAACAAATGTATCCAAGTTTTATTTAGTCTGCTCATTTTCCTAACCATTCGACGTTTAAAACAAAATTAGAACGAATAACTTCAGGTAATATATATCAAAATAAAACGATACAAGTAATAATAGATTCAATTTGTGATGCCACAAAGAAAGTTAACAAAGTGAAACAAATTTTAAAAATGTGAGAATGTAGGTCGTAAAGTTGAATTAAATAACGAGTACTAAAACGTTCATGCTTCCGAGGCAAACAAAAAGTAGGTGGGTTTGCACTCTTCCAGTTGATTTCGAAGCACGCCATTTCGGGTCTCCAACTATTGGTTACCGCCACCCTATGGGCCGAAGCTTGAATGTTTGTACCTTCCTACATTATTCGGTTAAATAATTCACATCCCGGGTCACCGTCTACTCTGACTTGTGTTGGTGGTTAGATTTGAATAATAAATAAAGAATGGCTAGATTAGCATAAAGAATCATTCTGTGATAAATGAATATTAGTCCAAGTAATAAATGAAGGTGCTTTCCAAGTAAATTTTTCTAGAAAAAGGTGTTAGGTGGTCGAAGACTAGATGTCACTTTTTGATATGGATTCAATTTCCTTCCTGTGAATATCGAATATTTGTGGATTCGTTGCCTCTTATTCTCTGCTAAGATATACGTTTTGCGTTTCTCTCTTAGTTTGTTATTACTCGTAGGTTCACTATTCTTTTTATTCTTTTGGTTTTCTTGTCAATGTTTCTATCCCATTCTAATACAAGTACTAGCTATTTAGAACTGAAGAGGGTTACGCTGGTTTTTATCATATATATATATATATAACCTAGTTTTATTTTATTTTAGTCAATAATGTATGAACTGCTCGAGTACGAAGCTTCTATTCTTGTCGATATTCACCACGAGAGCTCATTGTTGGTGCTTGCTGATGGTCTGGGAATGGATACAATTATTTATAACACACTAAGATTACATTCAGATCCTCACAACTTAGTGCTTGTTTCGAACTATCGTATTCCAGAAGCTCGTTTTCTAACAGGTATACTGGAAAAGAATGGTATAATCCACTCCCCTGGGATAATTACTGCTGAGGTAAATAATAAGGAACGTGAGGCAATTTACAAGCGAGGTGGTGTGGTATTTGTCAGTTCTCGCATATTAGTTGTGGACTTACTGATGGAAAGAATGCCTGTCTCTTTGGTTTCTGGTGTCTTAATTCTTCGGGCACATGAGCTACACGAGGCATGTCAAGATAGTTTCGTTATTCAGCTTCTCAGAGAACGCAATCCCCAATTGTTTATCAAGGCTTTCAGTGACAACTCATTGTCTTTGACTTCTGGTTACAATCATGCAGAAAGGATTATGTTGCAGCTGGGTATTTCAAAGCTTGTTCTTTGGCCAAGATTTAATATTCAGGTTGTTTCCTGTCTAAATCAAAGCCAACCTGATGTGGAAGAAGTTCACGTATGATTTTTTATACTATAACTATTGTTATTACATTTCAGAATAAAAACGTATATCCACTAGCGATTATATTTGTAGAATGAATAAATATGTGCATCTCGATCTTATCTTTGTGGTTTGGTCGTTGATAAACTTACACTTTGGAGATTTTAAATTGAATTTATCTTGTATTCATACCTATTTTTCCATAATTAGGAATTTGTTAGTTAATCATCTTACGCAATTCTTTTTTTATCAGGTAAAGTTGACTTCAGAAATGATTATTTGTCAGTCATGTATACTTGATCTTATGAAGGCGTCATTAAAAGAATTATGCGATCAAAATCCAACACTAAATACGGACGATCTTACCTTAGAAAAAGCTTTGTTACCGAATTTCGACAGTCTTGTAAGTTGTACATGATCATACCTTTAAAAGTCTGCAGTCAACATTTTGTGGGTATATGAAATAAATTACCATTTTTAAATCCAAAAGTAACTCTAGAGAACTAGTAGATACTTATCGATTATCTGACAAAAGAATTAAGTGGGCTGGTGAATTGAGAATCTTATGTAACATGTTAATTACGTTAGATCTAAATTGTAAACCACTGGTTATATTTAACTATGGATGTAAAAACGTCCAGATTAACCCTACTAGAAATTTTTCGGTTACAAGAAATATATCGAAAATGGTGTATTCCATGTATTTTTGAGATGAATTGCGTTTTAAAACATGAGGTGGTTATGACGTGATGATAATTCACTTATCCGTGAAATTTCTAGTGTTTATTTGAAAGATCGAGTTATAGCGTTTAAATGTGATATCGCCTTTTTGTGCGGTCATGAATCTACTGCATGCGTTGATTCGTAATGTTTTTTTGCGACACTCAGTCTAATAGTGCATTATTGCTTATTGTTATATACAACTAAATTATTTTAATAACTAAGCTTGATCTAATAATAGTGTAGAAACACAAGTTCTCTTTATTAGATTAAGGCTACTTATCAACCTTGTAAAATTGACATGTTAACAGTCCAACTGACTTTTTCATAGTGATAATAAGATCCAAGCCAATTACTTTTATATCAGCTGAAGCCAAACAGTGGACAAATAAATGAGAAATATGAAAGTAAATTCAGAAGTTTGCGATTCGACCACAGTGTGTAAGATTACATGAGAGAGTTTTTGTGTCATGAGTCGAGTGATGCTGAGAAGCGAATGTTGATCAGTTAGTAAATGTGATTTCCGGTAAAATAAGTTTAAGAAGTCTTGTTGTTTTATTGTCACAGCTCCATTTTCAACATGTATTTCAATGCTCAAAAAAGAATTTTTTAAACGAAATATCAACTACCCACATTTCTATCTTTTTATCGAATTAAATAAGATCTCGTTATACGTTGACCCTGTATGGAATCAGCTCAGTTCAGTTAGTCGACGTCTTATCGGAGATATTGCCAGCTTGAGACGTTTACTACACTTATTGATTGAAGGAGATGCTGTCAACTTTTTAACCAATATCGAAGGTTTACGTCAAGCCGCTCTAGCAAGTTTGGGCGTGACCCAAAAGAGTGAAATAAATTCAAGAAGGGCTGCTTCAAGAGGTTGTCCTAGTTGGTTTTTGATGGACCAAGCTGATCGTCTTTTGGCGTCTGCAAGGTCTCGTGTGTATGCTGACTACAGCAAAAGTATGTTCCCACATTTTTTAAACTACTGTAAATACTTTTGTTGATAGCATTTTATGCCTTGTCAACTAGTCATTTTCATATTCATTCAGGATTTTTCTGGGATTCAAGCAATTTGTAATTATTTTATTTTGAAATTGCTTTTTCTCAGTTAGTTTGATAATGTGGTTACATAGTTGTGTGTCAAACATCTTTTCAAATAATCCTGGCCGATAGAGTTCGGGGAGTAATAGCAGTGAGCTGATATATTCGTCAATAAATTTGCAGTTAAATTATCCGCGTTTAAAGTGTGAAGTTTTAATGGGAAATCCCAGGGTTTTATATATTATCTAAACTGATCTTTTTTAGTTGGTTTTTCAAATTTTTTTCATGGCTCAACGACCTTTATTTATTCCATTGAAATACTATAATTTCATTTCTGTTAAGAAAGAATAACAAATTTGATAGAAAACAATGAATTCGTTGAGAATTTCGTTGTCGCTTATTCAGCATTGTATAAGGTAAGATAAATAAAAGATACAAGTGATTAAATATTATGACGTGACTAACAGTGTATTTTACTAATAAACCAATGGAAGCCAACAGTATGTACTCTGACCGTTTGATTAAATGATAAAAACTCAGTACCCTGAAAGATATTCTGTCCGTTGGATCATATCTGCAACGAAAAATTCGTCATATAATTCGGTCAGTTTGTCATTGAATACTTCTTGCGGGTGTTGTTTGGTTTCCGAAGTTAAATTTATGTTTGTGGACGCGTGAAAACATTATATCCTTAAGATGTACTACAATGAATTCTTCCATAGTGAGCCTAGATAGCCTTCCCTTCATAAGTTATTGTTGTGAAATGGATCGTTTCCTGAAGATTCACCCACAATCGGCCAATAAATTGATTTCTATCAATAACAATTATTAAATTCTCAAACTGGTTCTGATTCTAAAAAAACTAGCAAAAAATTCTATTAATCCCGACTAATTTTCCCCTTCATCATCAGTTAAAGGTGAAAAAACCTCTTGTTTTTCTTTCGTACTCTAAATGGTTTGGAACTTGATCAATAGCCATTCAACGGCTTAATACGAGCTTGATTGAAGTGTATTCCAAGAAGTATTTACGTTTGGTTCATTATTATGTTAATATTTCGATCCACGTAGCTAGTAACGGAGTCATAGCATCCGCGATAGGTATTTAAGACACAATGACAACTTATCTAGATGTGAAGTTGGTTTTTCAATAGTACATGAAACTAATGGAAGCTGTAACGGAGTGGTTACGTACAACAACATCAAGTCCTTCCTACTGCATCCTGAAACTCATCACCAGCGAGATGAATTCCTTGTAATATAACGGAATTTTTCCTTGATCTTACTGCTAATACTGTTTTTGATTCTTGATCCAAGGATTATGGAGATTTGTTTTACACAAAAGACTTCCTATTTCCATGCAAATCGGGTGTTATAATTTCTCTTATTACAACCCAGCTATTCCTATTGTTTATTATCCTTGGACACCAGTTCACTCGATAAGTCCCCAAATCAGAACACTGTTGAACAGGAAAGAAATTATATTCCGAATAACAAGGATAGATGGAAGTAAGGGGCACAATATGAAAAACGTCAGTATATTTATAATTTTCTCATGAAAAGATTCTACAGTGTTCTCCAATTATCTGCTAGCGCTGATTGGATAAGAATTAGCCAATCAGCGTGTAGCAACACTATCGTGCATGGAACATGCTTTAATCCAGTCTATGTCCTGCTAACACCGAGTATCAATTAACAGGAAAGTACTCATATTTTATATTACCATACCAACTGCGTGGTCGCAATTCTAAAGACATTATTCCAAATGTTTGTGACCAGTGTTCACTATTGAAGACATGGTATTAATCCATAAAATACAGAGCAAAGAACTATTGACGTCGTTACGTATGCAGGCATCGCTAATCTATAAAGTGAGTGCTCTAAATTACTATCTTGTATGGATGACTAATCTGATTGCCTATTTTTGTCGGTGAACTCCAATACTCTAAAGATGCGGATATTGACACACATCTATTGAGTAAGATTGAATAAGACTCCTAGATAACACCTCACAGTTGCCGAAGTATGCCAACGACCTATAAACTTTAAAAATGACGAAGAAATCTTCCAGAACCCAGGAAAACTCAATTCAGTACATATAGTTTCGGCTTCAAATCATTCATCTAGCCAGCCCTCCCGAACCAACAACAAAAAACAGATTCCATTAACATGTCAACATTGCAATCAATAATACAGCGAACTCGGACACAGAAATGATTACTTCGAATAACATCGCAGCACCGCCCCCCCAATCCAAGCCTGACATTGATTCAAGAATGCGCTGGGAGGGTAAATTTATCACTAGCAGCTGGTGGATATATTACTCACTATCAAATAGACATTATATCATACATCATGATAGTGTCGACCGGACTGTGAGCTGAGCAACATTCTACGAAACGCATCGGGTTATGAAAGCGCGATGGGGTATTTGAACCTCAAGATAATACTAAATTGTGATGCTACATATCAATCGGAAACTACTTCTAGATTATGTTATATTGTTGACGTGAAGGTAAACTTACTTGGTCTCTACCGGATTAGTTTTCTAAGGTTCCGCAAAGTATGTTCGGACACTAACGATAATTTAATCTTCTTATCCGTATGGGTCTCTTTCATTTTGGTGCCGATTTGCACTAGTATTTATGTATTTTAAATAAATAAATCAAAGTGGTCACTCTTTTGCTACCACACCCAAACAGATTATGTGAGTTTAGTCTTTTGATTAACTACAGAAAGTAATGGATAAGGTAATGACTGCTTCGAATGAAACACAGGTACCGTACCGGCTTCTAGCTGTAAAGTGGTTTGGGTTCTTGTTCACCAGCCTAAGTCATCTCTAAATACTTCAGGAAACTCTATAATTTGTTTTGGTAAGTCTACCATTAAAGTTTATCTTATTTAATAACTACAAATATATTACAAACTTACTAATCCAGTCCAGACCATGTAAGTGCACGTTCACTTCAGCAATATAACACGGTTTGAATGTGATTTCACCTTGAAATGTTGTATTAAAATAAAGTATTACCATTCGATTCGATTCAGAAAACCTATGGGATAAAAAAAGTTAATATCTTGTTGATATCTTTAAAACGCCGTTTTCTGTAACCCCCCATTTGTTTTCAAATTTCTAGTTTTCTTCTATCTTCATAAGTAATTATCATCTAAGTATCTTAAACTGATAGTAGTTGTTGATATCACAGTTAGTTGATTTCAAATTATTTATATTTCAACTAAAAAGCTCTAGTTTTGCGATAACTTTTCAGTAGTTCATCCGTTTTTATTTTGCATTCCATATAGGGGCTATGAATTCGTAGTTCACTCAAATTAAGTGAAATAATCACTTGTTTTTTTTCTCAATAAAATTTATCATGGAATTTATTATTTTGTAATTTTTTCTTCTCGATTTATACTTTTATAGAATTATTAAATGTTGAGATTAGTCCAAAATGGAAAGTACTTTCTGAACTACTAAAAGAAATCTATACCAACACAACTGATCAAACATCAAATAGCACCATATTAATTCTTGTCAGTCGCGAAAATACAGCAAGGTATCTGGAACGTTATTTACAACGTGGAATACAATCAATCAAGAATTTTCTTGTTCAAACTTCAGATCTACCTGAATTACAGGCGCATAAAATAATACGGAAGGTAATGTATACAGTATGTAACAAATTATATATATATATATATATATATATATATATATATATATGATTGACGTTTGCATCTCAGTTAAATGATTTTGTTGTTGAATATAAATAAAGAGAAACCAGTGATAATTCGACGAAATAAGCTACTCAAGCTGTACATTCGTATTTAAAGTTGTCCGGTGAATATATGTTCGTAGAAGGATAAAAAAGATTTCATCATAAAGTGATTCGAGATCTCATGTATCAAGTGAGGTTGCATAATAACCAGTGGTTTAGAGAAAGATAGGAGAATGAGCATAATTTACAGGTCAGAGTTATGAACGATAATTCTCCATTTCACAGGTATGAAGAAGAATGAAAAACAAAAATCATAATAACAATTGAATAATAATCATTAAAAAATTTTTAAAGGATGATTACAACTGATCACAGTTTAAAATTACAAAACAATAATAAAAACAAAACAAGACCAAAACATACTTCAGAAGAGAATTATGGCCAAGGAAGTGTAAGAGGTTGGACGCATCGTTTTACATTCAGAGTTCGAGCTTGAATTGGTGCATCCCCGAAACTTTGTGAGTCCACATGTTTTTGATTCGGTCTCCCTTTGAATGAACAGCTTAAGTAAATAATTTCATCGGAAAGAAGATTTTCTCTGAATTCTCATTTTCATTTAGTGACACAGTTTTGATTAGCTTTTAGTGTTGTTGATTTCTCTGAGCTAGATAGTTCAATTGTGCAGCTTCCATTGTCGTTCTGGACAACATCATCAATACTTGCTTCATGTATATGTATATGTTATTCCTCCTACTTAGTTTGCTAGATGGTTGGAAATGAGCAAGAGAAAGCCAAGTATTTCGATTGTCCATTTATTGCCACCTACCACTATGATTGCTGATATGCCTTACGAATAATTAATAGATAGTTTCAAGTAGGGTGTATTACGGAGTAAGGTTCAGTTAACAGTAAACAATAAATTCTTTTTACGAATAAGTTAGTTTTGAGTTCCGTGACACCGATTGATTCGGATCATATATAATGAAAGAATATTGGTGTTCAAACCACCTTCGAAACATAAAAACATCGCTAAAATAGATGCACATTTGGAAGTTCAATCGATCGCTAGTCACTATCAAAAATACCATGATAGTTTAAAGATATTAGGTGAATATCAACTAGAAAATCATTAAAAACTAAGGAATACTGGATGGCTATTATGAATTAGTTTAGGGCTCCTCAGTTGCGCTCATCGACGCCTCCGGATGGAGTTTAATCTTGGGACCTGAAGCCAAGCAGCGAACACTTTATGTGGAAATCATCTTACCCGCATCTTGATTTCAGCTTTTTTTCAATGTTACGCGACCATCTTGTTGTCGCACTTTAAACTTTGTAAGTTTGTAGGCTACAGTTTCTTACTGTGGTTTTAAAAATCTGTCTGAAGGCTGTTCACTAGTAAGTACATGATTGTTATTTGATAGATGTTTGGTGATGAGTCGTTTAATTGGAAAGTAGTTTTCATCACGGACTAATTAGTATCTAAGTTTTTTCACATATGAGGATGTGCGTATGCGTTTCTGAAGAATTCCAAATGAAAACGATACACTCGTACAACAGTCCTTAGTTTTCAATGGTTCATAAGTATCAAAAGCTATCTTCAAATTAAACTAATCTCAACAAACCATCTGTAATAATAAACAGATAGATTGTGACTAGTAGTGGAATTCAGGACGCGCGTTTCGTCCTATTTAAGACTCGTCAGCCAGATGTACCTGGATCCCTGAGTTGATGTTCACTCCTGAACTTAAATGTAGTGTCGTTCTCTTCAAACGCCATCGCGTTATCCACTTAAGATGAAATACACGTATCGGATTCCACTGCTAACCAATATCCATCTCTGCTGATAATTCTTGTAACTTAAAGTAATATTGAGACAATCCGCATGGGATACACATATCCCCAAAATTGACCACTGATCAATTGCAGTCCTAAACATCAATAGGAAGATTCAAACAACCAATACAAATGAATCATCCGTGATAATGTTTCTGTGAGATTTAATGTTTACCAAATGTTAATTTTCAGTATAGAATTGTGGAGATTGTTGAGTTCCATTGAAATCATGAACCGATCAACTCTAGACCACCATTGATCGGTTCATGATTTCAGCGAAATATATATTTGGTATATAGTTCCCATTCAAACATTAAAATTAAAACACGAAGTTCAACGAATTTATTATCAAGATGTACAATCGCATATATATGAAAATGTTTTATTAAAGTACTAATTCCGTGAGGAAATGTGAACACTAATAATTAAGATTATAATAAGATGAATAAAATGTTTTGGTTACAATAATTAAAGGTCGTAGAAGTGTAAAAATAAATACGGATATGTAGTACGGAATGCATTAACGAAGAACTCGTGTTCCTTAAGAAAACCTTGATGAAAAACGGCTACCCAGACCGGTTCATAGAGAAAAATATGAATAGAAGTAGCGTCGACAGGAAACCTAGTTATTCCGTCCCGAAGAAAAACCTTTATATAAGTCTGGAATTTAAAGATGATCGGACATCAGACGTAATTAAAAATCGTTTAACAACAACGATTAAAAGGACATTTAACGCTGCTAAACTACGAATAACCTTCACTAGTAAGAACTTATTCTCTGTATCCATAAAAGATAAGCTCCCGCGTTCGGTCGCCTCTATGTGCATCTACCAGTTCACCTGCTCTTGTGGAGCAAGATACATCTGCCGTAGCCAGCGCTCGCTTTCAACTCGGATACGAGAACATATCCCAGTTTGGTTCTACAAGGGTGAAAAGAAAGCAATTCAGAGCTCTATACATGAACACCTAATCGACTGTAATCATTCCACAGATCCACAGTCTGATTTTAAGGTTGTTTATATGATTCATTCAAATCTACCCAGATTTCTTCGTATCAAGCTCTTAAAAATAGCCGAAGCTCTTACCATCCACGAGCTCAAACCAGAACTATGCGTACAAAAGAAGTACGTCTTATCATTATCGTTACCATGGCCTTAATATTATTATTATTGTTATCATTCAAACGCGCGTTCTGGATTCCACTGCTAGCCACTATCCACCTCTGCTTACCATGCTTGTGAATTAAGGTATATCGAGGCAGTACGCACAGTATGCACATATGCCAATTAGAGACTGACCAGTTGCAGTCCTAAACACATCGATGGGAAGATCCAAACAAACAATACTAAGTGAATTCATTCTTTTATTATTATTATTATTATTATTATTATTATTATTATTACTCTATTTCCCCTTTACTTATTCTCATTATTTTATTCATGAATACTCGTCATATCATCTTATTTATTTTTACACCTCTACGACCTTTAATGACCTTTAATTGTTGTAACCAAAGCATTTTATTCATTTTAATCATCTTATTATAATCTTAATTATTAGTGTTCACATTTCCTCACGGAATTAGTACTTTAATAAAACATTTTCATATATATGCGATTGTACATCTTGATAATAAATTCGTTGAACTTCGTGTTTTAATTTTAATGTTTGAATGGGAATTATATACCAAATATATATTTCGCTGAAATCATGAACCGATCAATGGTGGTCTAGAATTGATCGGTACATCCAGCTGACGAGTTCCAAATAGGACGAAACGCGCGTCCTGGATTCCACTGCTAGCCACTATCCATCTCTGCTTACCATATATTTATTTGGTTAATATATACAAGTATTAGTATTTTGTTTCTTGGTAGTTTTATTTCCCTCCAAATTATCATTCTAATTTTCTTATCCACTGGATTTCTCTTTTGTTTTTTTTTAAAAAAATAACCTTGAAAATAGTCTCTCGAATTAACGAATACAAAATGTTCTGGAGAATCATCTGTAACTAATCTTACACAAATTTGCAAAAAATATAAATTTGATGAATTATTTGAAGATGATGACAGTTCATCTTCATCAGAGGAAAATTGTACAATGGAAAATACCGAAAAAATCACTAGCAATAATAATCGTTTGCCTTTAGGATGTCATGAAGTTAGCATTCATCCTAGTTTATTAATTTCATCCAATATAAAGATGTCTAATTCACTTAGAATTATTATACGTGTAGCACCAACATTTTCAGGTGATGAAAATAGTCAGTTTTATGGGTCAACAAAAGATCACCCAGATGTATCGAATTTATTTATGCAACAATATGGTTATCGATTATCATATGTTTTAGATGTTCTTCAACCTAATTATGTGATATTATATGAGCCTAAAGTATCATGGGTCAGAGAATTAGAAGTGTACAATGCACGTCTTCTAATTCAACGTTTCTCGAAAAATGAATCTTCAAGTAACATGGGAGAGCGTAATAATTCTTTACCTTCATTAAAAATATATTTTGTACTGTATGAAAATTCCGTTGAAGAACAACGATATTTAACAAGTTTACGTAAAGTACGTTGATTTTCAGCTTATTTATTTTTCTCTGGTTTATCATTTTTATAACTTAGCCGTGCAAAATATCAGTAATTACCCTTCATAGTGAAGTGAACTTTTAAAATATACAGCGTGACTTCATTTTAGGTAAAAACATGTAATACCAATCAATTCTTCTTTACAGACTCGACTGTGTAGCATAACTAGGTGTGAAGCTGCAGAGATTAACACGTAAATCTAAGATTTCCTACTTTGTTCCTTTTGTATAGCAAATGAATGGGTGACCTGAGAAATAACGTTGAACAGGAATGTAGTCGAAACCCTCGAACTAAGAGAACTTTGATTTACTGTTCACGGTAACTAGTGGGGACGTCTTCATTATAAATTTTGTAATATCTCGACAAAAATAACCAACATAGTCACAAATGGTTGTGTAAATATTATAGATAAGAAATATTATGGTAAAGTAGATCAGTGTAAAAAAGAATAATATCACTAGTAAATTAACTAGTTTTTTGTAACACATCCGAAACAATTTACCTTAATGTATTTCATAGTATATATTTCTCTAACCAAAAAGTGAGTATTGAAATGTCTGAAGGTTCCTTGGTAAATCATCAGTGGTGTCACTTCTATTATCTGTTAACCTGACTAACTGCATTTCTCACCCACTGTCATACATATATTTATGTTGAGTGATAATTAAAGCTTTTTATCCGTACTTTTTCTCACGGTCTGTTATGGCAGACACACATTTCAAACACTGCTGTTATGTCCACATTTAGGTTTCCGACGCATCTTAATGTTGGAACTATAGCGTTCAGTCAGTCAGTCAGTCAGTTACAACGTAGAACTTCGTACGTACGTACATCAGTTCGAATTGCCATACCACATTAGCACAGAGATGAAGTTGTCGATTCAAATCCCGTATTGGTAGAATTAGTAAGAGTATAAGTATTATGTGAAAGATAAGGGTTTGAAGATGTTATTGAAGGAGTATAATATGGTGAAATAAATTTGGTAAGAGAGAAAAGATAGGGACATGAAGAATTTAGAAGATTAGAATTTGGTAGAACACAAAGAGTGTATGCACCTTCGCCATTGCAAACGATTTTGAGCCATGTCATTCAAGGTCTCTAACCATCGGTTGCTATCATCTCGCGAATCCCAACCAGGTAGTCTACACCTACCAACACGGCCCAGTCCACTTGTCAGCAACTTCATGGATTTATGCCATGTTTTGGTCTGGCCGCCCCTAGCTTTCTTCCAACCTGCTCCTACACTATAAAGCATTGCACGTCGGGGCAGTCGGTGGTTGGGCACACGTAACACATGTCCCAGCCATCTCAACTGATAAAGTTTCTGTACTCCATCAATCGATTTGCCATCCTTACCTAGTACCCGTTTCCTAACATCTGCATTTATTATTTATTATTTATTTATTATTTATTCATTATTTATTTATTTCCCGACCGTTGCTGCTACCTTGACGTGGTGGTCGGGCTTGCCTATCGTGATGATCCAATCGAGCTATGCTGGCTGGAACAATCGTTCCTCAAGGTCCTACCATGCCAGACAGGTCGATTGAAGAGCGGTGAGACTAAAAGCAGCAATCCCAAGGTCCGAAGGCGAAGTCGTACTGCTGACTGTACAGAGGTGTGAAAGCAGTAAGGTGTTTCCTTCAGACAACCAGCATGACAGCGATGCTGCCTTCCGACAAGGAGGGGTGGGGTTAGAAAAGGTCGACCCTAAAAATGCACACCTCGCCTTATCCCACGGATTTCCGTCTCCGGCGGTAAGGACTTTTGAAGAACGGAGCTAACACGTCAAAAATCCCCCACAAAAAGGCCGTGCGTGACCGGCCTCAAGCAGATGTCCCTTGGGCACTGCGGTCACGCACCCAGGTCGTTAAGACCAACACTAATCCAACTTCTTTTTCAGGTCCCTCAAGAAATACCCTTCCACGGTGTGGGCAGCCGGGAAGTGATACTAGCCCTCATACCCTTAGCTGCACACAAGACCAAGTTGGTCGCTTTCAAATCCTTCCTACACCTCCTAATAACTCTGTTATCTCCACGACTAACCCTTCCCACGTCCTTTTATCACCTCGCACCGCTAGGGCAAACGATTCGAGTACACAGAACGTTATTTCTGGTCTCCTGAAACCACGCTCTAAACTACATATAGGAACTTTTAATGTCCGAACATTGTGCCAAATAGGACAACAGGCTTCCTTAGCTAGGACTCTAGAATCTTACACCATCGATGTGTGCTGCGTCTCCGAAACGCGCATACAAGATCCGAGTAGTGTCATTCATTTGACCTCACCTAATCAAAATAAAGTTTCATCTCGATACACGCTTCGTGTATCTGGAAGCCCTGACGCTGCTTCCCGTGGCCTCGCTGGAGTAGGTATAGCATTAAGTCCTAGGGCAGAACTAGCTCTTTTAGACTGGATCCCAGTAGACAGTCGTCTATGCGCTGTCCGACTAAACGGATCAGTAAGGACCCGGAAAGATAGGGAAACTCGTCGTTGCCTCTTCGTCGTCTCTGCCTACTCTCCCACTGACTGCAGCTCAGACGATATAAAAGATGAGTTCTACAGGAAACTTTCTGACCTTCTCCGAGAAGCTAGGCGTTCTGATGTTGTAATAGTAGCAGGTGACTTTAATGCTCAAGTAGGTAAACTAAGTGAAAGGGAAAGACACCTGGGTGGATCTTATGGTGTCATGGCGAAAAGAACAGATAATGGCGACCGTCTGTTGCAGCTGTGCTCAGATAACCGCCTATTTCTTGCAAATACTAACTTTAAGCATAAGGAAAAACATCTTTTGACATGGCGACCCCCGAATTCGTCCCAACGTTGGACCCAATTAGATCACATCGCTATCAGCCACCGATGGAGGGGCTCGATAGAAGACTGTCGCTCATTATGGGGCACATGTCTAGATTCAGATCATGCTCTAGTGCGAGCACGTATCTGTCTGCGTCTAACTGGTCGTAGGAAAGACACTGCAGGGAAGCCTCTAAGGGTTCTACTTAATGATAGGCAAGCTAAGAATATATATCAGGAACAACTAGAAAAACAGTTAGGCAGCCATGTAAGTTGTGTCCACCCCGAGGCAGCGTGGAATGACATCCGAAAAGCTGTGGAAACAGCAGTGATGTCCGCTAGTAAGGTAAACCATAACGTTAGGGAGAAACAATGGATCTCGGCAGCATCTTCCGCACTGATAGATGCTCGTAAACTCATCCCACCTGGCTCTGAGCATAACGAAGAGCGGAGTCAACTTAAGCGCAGGCTTATAAGAAGCCTACGTAATGATCGTGAACAGTGGTGGGTAGGGAAAGCAAGAGAGATGGAAAAGGCAGCGGCAATAGGTAACAGTAGGCAGCTATTCAGACTCGTTAAAGAAACCGGCATTAGAAACCCGAATATCAGTGAAACCATCTCAGATAGAGATGGGCATATTATTCATTCTCAATCCAGGAGATTGGATCGATGGGCAGAACACTTTAGGGATCAGTTCAACTGGCCTTCAGCCACGCTTCAATTACCCACGATCCCCAGTCGTCCTGAATGGCAAATTGACGTAAGTCCTCCAACCCTCTGTGAGGTTGAAAAAGCTATAGGAAATCTGAAGCGAGGGAGAGCAGCAGGCCCTGACAGGTTGACCCCTGAGATTTTTAAGGATGGTGGTCCAGTACTAGCAGTGAGATTGACTGAGGTCTTAGGTAGAATCTGGGAACTGGACGCAATTCCATCTGACTGGTCCCAATCACTGATTGTGCCAGTCTATAAGAAAGGACAAAAGTCCTCCTGTGACAATCACAGAGGGATCAGTTTGACTAATATAGTGTCTAAAATATTAGCTTCAATAATACTAGGTCGCCTAACCAAAGCTCGTGAAGAGCAGACTAGAGAAAACCAGGCTGGTTTTCGACCTGGACGTGGTTGCATAGACCAGATATTCACCCTACGTCAGGTTCTAGAACATAGACACAAATTCAGACGTCCCACAATAGTAGTATTTCTTGACCTTAAGGCGGCATTTGACTCTGTTGATCGTGAGGTTCTATGGCAATGTTTGTCACTGAAAGGAGTACCAAAGAAGTACATTAACCTCATAAAGGCTCTCTACTCGAACACAACTGGTCGAGTTAGAGCCTATGGCGAACTGTCATCAGAACTGATTACCACAAGTGGAGTTCGTCAGGGCTGTCCACTCTCCCCATTCTTGTTTAACTTTGTCATTGACATACTTTTAGAGACAGCACTTTCATCAGCTAAGCCTCCAGGAGTTGAACTCTTACCGGGAGGCTCACTTGTTGACTTAGAATACGCCGACGACATAGTTTTACTCGGTGAAGACGCTGACAAAATGCAGAGTCTTCTGACCACCATAAGCAACAATGCAGGCATGTTCGGGATGCGATTCTCTCCCTCGAAGTGCAAAATGTTACTTCAGGATTGGGTTGCAGCGACACCTGAACTAATGATAGGGAGTGAAGTAGTTGAGCGTGTAGACCACTTCACTTATCTTGGGAGTCTCATCAGCCCTTGTGGTCTGGTGTTTGACGAAATCTCAGCACGGATACAGAAGGCTCGTCTAGCTTTTGCCAACTTGCATCATTTGTGGCGTAGGCGAGATATCCGTCTAGCAACCAAAGGACGGGTTTACTGTGCAGCAGTTCGTTCCGTCCTACTTTATGGAAGTGAAACATGGCCGGTAAGAGTAGAGGATATTCGTAGGCTACTAGTGTTCGATCATAGGTGTCTTCGAAGCATTGCTCGTATATCCTGGGACCACCGGGTAAGTAATACAGTTGTTAGGAAACGAGTACTAGGTAGGGATGGCAAATCGATTGATGAAGTAGTGAAACTTCATCAGTTGAGATGGCTGGGACATGTGTTACGTATGCCCGACCACCGACTGCCCCGACGTGCAATGTTTCATGGTGTAGGAGTAGGTTGGAAGAAAGCTAGGGGTGGCCAGACCAAAACGTGGCACAAATCAATGAAGTCACTGACAAGTGGACTGGGCCATGTTGGTAAGTGTAGACTACCTGGTTGGGATTCGCGAGATGATAGCAACCGATGGTTAGAGACCTTGAATGACATGGCTCAAAATCGTTTGCAATGGCGAAGATGCATCCACTCTTTGTGTTCTACCAAATTCTAATCTTCTGAATTTCTCATGTCTTTATGTTTTTCTCCTTCCAAATATATTTCACTGTACTATACTCCTTCAATAACATCTTCAAACTCTAATCTTTCCGATTACTGCTTATACTCTTACTAATTCTTCCACTATGGGATTTGAATCGACAACTGCATCTGTGTGCTAATGTGGTATGGCAACTCGAACTGATGTACGTACGTACGAAGTTCTACGTTGCGACTGACTGACTGAACATCTGCATTACTTACCCGGTGGTCCCAGGATATACGAGCAATGCGTCGAAGACACCTATGATCGAATACTAGTAGCCTACGAATATCCTCTACTCTTATCGGCCATGTTTCACTTCCATAAAGTAGGACGGAACGGACTGCTGCACAGTAAACCCGTCCTTTTGTTGCTAGACGGGTTGCTGACCAACAATTGGTTCATAAGTTTTCTGTTCCCTCAGTATCCTGGAGCCCCTGTGAACCATTGGTTTGGAATCAGGGTTTTCCAACTCCCCTAGGTGGATTCACTGTGTCCACAGGCTCGGTCAAAGGGCCGGACATTCGCTTTTTGTCCTCTCAATTCCGTAAACAACAACCCCGCCACGAGAAGGCAGTGAGTAGGACTTCCATGACAGGCTGTATACGCGTAACCGTGTGAGCGCATTTCGAGAGGAAGGATGGCCTCTCCCCACTCTCGGCCATACAAGGACATTTGGGGGCGGTCGTCTTTCCATTTTTTCCTATTCTAACCTTTCCACCAGGTTGTCTATTTAATGCTGTTCCGTCGCATTTTAAATAGGCAGAAACCAGAAATATCATATAATTTCAACTAAACCAACTTATTTCGAGTAATATTCTTTAGAGTGTCTTTTACCACAATGTGTTCAGCGTGGTTTGTTTTCTTGGAAAACGATGTTAGTCGAATTTTTGTAATTCGACCGTCAATTTATTATGATCAACTGTCTTTCGCATTCTATTCCGTAGTCATTAATTGCTTATTTCAGACCTCTTTTTTATGTGCATCGAAATCGTTACCTGAATTATTGAGCAACAGGAAAATAAACCGTATTTATAATGTGTTTTCTCTTCTAAAGGAAAAAGAAGCATTTGAATCTCTTATTCAGCTAAGCAGTACTATTGTTATACCAAAAGATACAACAATACCATATGGAAAATTGAACCCAGATGATAATCAAGCCGTGTCTCGTGTAATCGTAGATATGCGTGAATTTCGTAGTGAGCTACCAGCACTCTTACACAGAAAAGGATTAAAAGTAAGAAATCTACCTTATGCACTTTATTTTTACGTGTAGTTCTTTCAATAATATTGGATGGTTCTTTTACTTAGACAGGATGTAAAGTGGTAAAGAATACTTACAGCTCATCATTTGAGTGATTAACTCGTATTGCTTACTAAGTTTTTGTCTGTGATAGTAAATGTTCTAGTATTATAAAAGTCACCATCACTAGTTCAGGTTTTTAATAGCTCACATTAGTAAATCGTCATCACTGAATATTGGAGTATTCAGATATCAAAGGTGTAAGCTCACAGCTAAATATTTACGAATTCAGAGTTGTTAACTTCTGATTGACGTAGAAGAAGTTTAGATATGTAACTCAGTATGAAATATTCACTGAAAGTTTTAGAATGCGATTGGCGAAGAAACTGGCTATTCATTAATAAAATCAGGAATGAAAGTTTTATGTTACTCAATTTCCAATAGTTAATAGTTTCACTCCGTTATATGCGATCAGTTTCACATAATTCGTCGGTCACCGTGAAAGATCATAAAAGATAAAACGATAACGATATACACATAACCTCTAAGTACCAATTTTCTAAGATATAGAATTCTTTGTATGGATTTTTTTGTCTGAGCTTATTATCTATGAAAAGTAAGGAGGCATCAAAAATATTTAAATTTCGTGGACTCAGGAAATTATTTTGTAGACAAACTTTGTGGTGTGTTTTATAATAAATAGGAATTGAGCTTTCGTTAAACATGTAACCAGTCGTTAAAAACAATTTTGAAAGTGTCTTATGATTTTCTCATAATCTTTGTAGTTAGCAATTTTTATTATTTTACAAAATTTGATTCCAAATGCAGTCGAATTGTTTATTTTATTTCCAAGAAATGTTTTCTAAGAGATGATTGTTCATCATTAAGCTAGAACTATCATGAAGTATCAGTTTGGACACTAATATTCATCGATTTAACTGTAATTTCTGTTCATGCATAATTTGTTCTTTGTGAATGAAATAAATAAATAAATCCTAATTGTTTGCTTATATATAGGTAGAACCTATGACTTTAAGTATTGCAGATTATATTCTTGCTCCGCATTTATGTGTTGAAAGAAAATCTGTTAGTGATCTCATTGGTTCTCTTAACTCTGGACGACTATATCATCAAGCTACTGCAATGTCACGTCATTATGCAAGTCCAGTTCTTCTTATTGAATTTTCTATACCTAATAAAGGTAATCATTATTTGTTTATAGCTATTTTAATAATAATAAAGAGGAATAACTGAGTACGTGTTTACTGGCTCGATCATGTATTACGCTTATTATATGAGAACCTGTTGTATCACCTGGTTACACAGACTAAAGTTTATTCGGGGGAGTCCAACTCTACTATGCTAAAGTCAATATTTTCAGTTGATAGTATCAACTGGATTTGTTTGTTAGGGCTAACTACTGAATTGGTTAGTCAAAATTCAATCACAGGGCCAACACTTTGGGTTCTTTATTTCATCATCCCCATACAATAATCCTATATAATTAGTGAGTAGTCGTTTTATCTTTTGACTTACGAATGTCAAATTATTAGTGGGCTTCTGAAAACATGGACAGAATCAGTGTTTTATAGTTACATATCATTCTGAGCAATTGAGAGCTGTCTATTTGATACCCTGGATCTTTCCAATGTTTGGCGATTTCATTGGTAACAATCTTTTTTCCATCTCTAAACATGCTCCTTAAACTGAGCATTTTGACTCGTAGTTATTCCTGTATATGTTTTTGAATATATGTAAATTGTATGGCATCTGGTAAGAACTGCCCAACTTCTTCAACTTCTGTACATGAATCGTGTTTATAATCTGTAACCTGGATATAAACTGATTGTATAATATAACAAACCGCAATGCGTCTTACATGCTACTATGTATTATGATAATCACAAATTGTGTTATCTAAGAAATTCAGATCCACCACTTTGAAATGACGAACTGATTTGTGTCGTTAACCGTCATAAAAATATGCGACTTACAACCTGTTCACTGTAAGTACTTGGTTGGACCTATATTATTCTTATATTTTTATCAACACCCAACCACTTTTTACATTCCTTTTCCGTTCCAACATAGTTTCTAGTTTAAATCATGGGAGCAAAAGAGGATTTCATGGAAATGAAGCAGTTGGTTTTACCTTGTACACTGGGCGACATGCAATTAACCCTAGTTCAGAGTTTAATTCCAATCATCTTTTAGCTAAACTTGTTTTGCTCACTATTCACTTCCCTAATTTACGAATATTTTGGAGCATGACTCCCTATTGTACTGCAGAATTGTTTGCAGAGATCAAACTTGGTCGGCCAGAACCAAGTGCTGAAAAACTTCCTCAGGTATGAGATTTTTTCCAGAGTTACTGATGCTTATGATATACTTCTGAAATTTAGACTCGTAACGCTAAACATTGTTTTTTGTAGCAATTATTAGTGTCTAGTATGTTTTTATCGCATCTATGTTTTTTACCTCATTGATCTGTCTGCTGACTAATATGCAGGAAACAACTTGTCTAAATCTATACTAAGGCTTTGACACGATAGGCTGACTGGTTCAATCTTGAGGCTAGAATCGCATGAGTTCGAAGTGAGACTAACAGCCTTGGGTAGAGATAAAACTGTTCTATCATCTGATTGGTTGACAAGTGCACGCAAGAGAGAATACGAGTCAACTGGAAGACCACTCGATTTATTCCCAAATCCGATCTGGTTCCCAATTTCCAGATTTGTGTAAAAAGATACATGAATAAATAGATGACTAACATGACCACAACGCACAAACAGGAAAATACGATTACATCCAAAACTGGGGATTAGGGTAGAAAACAAAGTACAAAAGATTACGTTTAAGTTACGGTAGCTTTGGAACAGAAAAGGCTTTGGCAGTGAATCATACATCAAACGAAAGCTTATGGTCTGTGGACTAAACTAGGGACAAAACTGAACGTTAATGTTTTACAAGCTTTGAATTAAGTAAAATAACGTCCTCAAAAATAGCTTCTGTTTTTTTGTCATGGCTTCTTATTTCTCTCTTCACATCACAATCCTTTATCATTTCAGGATGGTGATCATTTAGAGGATCATAATGTTGAGGCTGTTGACATGCTATTAAAATTACCAGGCATATCATGGAAAAATTATCGGCGCATAATGAGTCATGTTTCTTCGTTATACGATTTGGTTAACTGCAGTATAGAAAGGTTAACAGAAATTTTGGATAACAGGTATGCTTGTTTTCTGTTTTTGACTTTCCACTTTTTTCAAAATATTTTTAACACACGAAGATCCACTCATTGCTTGAATTTTGTTGTCCCGTGTGGCCCTCCGAGTAGTGCCATGTGTTAAGTCACCAATCAAAATTCTAATCCCAATCTAGTCTAGTGTCTACTATTACCTCGATATCCTAGTGCCCCTTAACTGACCAATTACATGCCCGACTAGCGCTATTGACCTTGGGCCCACAGTCCCCACTGCTCTATTATTTGCGAGCCCCTTTCCACACCCCGCCTTGAATCTAGAATTAGTAGCAAGCATCCACTATATCTGTATTTTAAACAGACGTGGTCTAGATACAAACATACCACACCTCATAACACCATAAAATAAAGAATAACAACTGTACATAAGTCAAAAGTGGCTATGAATAGGGGAGACTGTACGTAGTAAATTGGCAACAAATTAGAAATATGAAATCGTAAAAGAGTAATTAATGTGCTAACTGAAAGCTAATAGTAAGTAAAATAGGCATACATAGCAATCCAGTTGCTTAGTAACCATATAACGAAACTATAAATAAAAATTTGTAAAACCAGTCCTAATTTCTGCAATATTTGTTCCGTTATAATAAATTTCAAATCAATTTTATCAAAAGTGGTGTATCATCGTCATCAAAATACATCTCAACTAGTATATAACATTATGAGGATTTAAATTTAACGAAGACATAAAAATGTGGTGGAAATAATCAGAAAAAGATAACGTTATACAAGGTACATTCAGCAGAGTTAATGTGTTTTCAAAGTTCTGATGTCCGTACAAAACAAGTTAGGGCTAGTGTAAACAGTGGTTTGTATGACCTTAAATAGTATCCGACATCTCTTTAAGTCATCGTAGTTTCACAATATCTAGTATCTTATGTAGGAAATTAGAATGTAGTAACAAATAATATCCTAACAAACTATTCTCCACTATGTATCATATCAATTGATATATGTATATTATTGTTATCTTTAAAGATGAGCGTGATAATAACTTCACTGAGCTGTAATGGAATGATTCTTAAAAATACACTGGCAATATATCCTCTGTCTTAAGAATTCCAGTACTATAAGCTACTTCAGAATCTGTATATCACTGAGTAAATAGCCAATTTCCGACCATACAATGCAGAATAATACGGTTAAATTAGTTGTTACAATATTCCGTATGGATAATTACCTCATGATTCGTAAAAGTTTTCTTCTTCTATCAGATCAACTTCATAGCTTTCGATAACTCTACTCTATGATAATCGCCCATCACTTGTATGTACATTCTCTAAATATATTTTACCTCATTCTTCTTTATATTCAGTACGGACTTATGAAGATCAGTAACTATCGTGAAGTTACAAGACCACCAAGTAAGAATTTTAGTAGCCAGGAATTCAATCACAACGAATAAGAACTGTATCTGAAATTTCCAATCTTGTGATTGTAACTAATGATAAACTACATTTCTCAGCAAAACGATAGCTTTAATGTTCAAGCATAACAAATTTCCAGCATTAACCACTTAAGATGTCAAATTTTTAACTGCGAAGATGCCAGATGAATCTGATGTATATTAAGTGGTGTTCGCAAATTTAAGACTGAGTTTGTCATCTGCGTATTTAAGACCGGCAGATATATGGAATATTTCATATCCAGGCTCTGCTCTAAGCGGTTGATGTTGGATGTCAAAAAACTCGTTTTTATTGTCCAACAAATTTGTTTCTTTTACAAATTAGACTTGAGTCCTACTCTAAATAGATTACCCCTTGTATGACTGGATTTTACCGTAGATGTTGATATCTTCAAAATCAAACGAGTGATATCCTGTAATACATCCCAAGATTTTCTGTTAGACTAACTAAATATTGTTTTATTCTGATAGGAAACACTTAGGGTGGAAATCAACATTCCAGATACTTTGGTCAGTGAGGTAGGAATATTTCTACTGTGGCTTTAATTCATTCTCATTTAGGTATATGGTTCTGTGAGTAGCAGCAGTCATATTTATTGTTGATTTGTATACTGTCAGTGGAAATACGTAATAATTATCATATCAGAATTCAATCGGTCATATCGTGCTAAATAACCTTTATTTTCACTTGTGGCAGGAATAGTTTACGTAGAATTATTACATTGTGATTGATTTCACCAGTGCAACTTTATAGAGATGATTATAATTGTTGATTCGATTAATTATGATTTTGAATCCTCACTATGTTTTAATGATGTCTATTCAATTTATTTTGAGCTGTCAATCGACATTAGTTTCAGAGCATTGTCCGTTTTAGTGATAGTTTATTTATGCTACTGTCCAGTTCCAACTTGATCTATTTGTTTAAATTGTTAATTCCCAGTGAATCTGCTGTTAAACTGCACAATTTCCTCCATTCCAAATGTAATGGTTTAGTTTCAAATGCTTCGACAGTTTCAGATATTGCTGATGAATCATTCAAGTGTCCAAACAAACGTAAAGCCAGACTAAATTTATCAGCCAGTGTAAGAACACGTCGTGGCAAAGGTTGTGGACCTAGCAAAAGGTAGCTCGATTTAATCAATAATAATAAATATTTGTAACAAAGTTGTACATAAAATAAAATTTAAGTTCCTATTCTAACCATGTTTTTTATGTTCATATGGCAACTTATTATCATATTGCACTATGAATTAAAAATATTTATTCTCGTGCATGCTGACTTCACTTACCCCATTACAATTGTGGATATTTTGGCGAATATGTTCGTCATAATATCACAAGTAATGATTATATCCGAGCTCGATATAACAGAACATAACGACGTAGAGCTTTTTAGAACAATACATAACTTGTATATACCCAACAGGTATTTGGTCTAGAGCTTTTTATCATGTTGTGCAAAAGTGGGGAAGCTAACACTTAAACTAGCAAGGACGTGGAAATGGCGAGGGTAATGGAGTACCAAAACTGAGGTAGATGTTTAGTTTTGTGTCTTTTACCTGTTTGAGTTGTTAGCATCAAGGTGTTGAGGCATTTCCAAGATTTTTCCACCTCCATAATCATACACAGCTGGTATGTGCCAAATCACTAAGTGCAGCCAAAACGTTGTGGACTCTTTCGTGAAAATAAATTACGCAGATCTCTAGGTTTCTGAAAGACTACAAATTCATACCACAACCACACTTGGATAACATTACGCTAATGCCTTTTGAAGTACGTAACCAACCAGCATTATTGAGTAAAACAGAGTTTGGAGTTATATAGATTCATTCCAATTCCGGAACAGTTATCATACTGATTCACAAGCTTCACTTGACATCAGCAGTATATCACGATCATTATATAATGTTGATTCCTACTCTCTGACTGAATAATACTGTGTTCGTTCTAAGACCTGGTTGAATAAATGGATGCACATTATTGTAGTATTGCAAACTGGAATTAAACAGTCGTCTGGTGTTTCCCTAACCGATGTCATCCTGAATTAGGGTACATTTTCACTTCTCACAACAAATCGGTGCTTTCACACATACCATAGTTATTTCTTTGGAACATTCCGCAAGTTCAGTTGAGACGTTTGAAGTTTGCGTTACGATTACACAGTATTTTTTATAAAGTGCTTATATATCGTTAAATCTTAGTTTATAACTCGCTAATAACATTTAAATGAATATGCGTTATAATGTGGAGTCACTTGTGGGTTCTTTATTAAAGCATGATGATCTTAAGCAAGAACTGAAAACACTGTCATCCCTAGACTGCTATTGTCAAAGGATTTAGTTCCTCCGGAACTTGAAGACAGGATCAAAGTAGAATCTGTTGTCGATTTTATCGCTAATGAAGCTACTAAACGAATAATCTCTCGAAATAATGTGATCATCTATAACATACCTGACAAAGTCGCCATTAAATCTTTTAGGAATTCGATATTAAAGGCACCAGTAATACTCGTGCCCTATCTTGTTTAGATTCGATTCCCATTTATTAGCTGAACAGTTGAAAGAATCCGAACGGCTGATCTGCGCGCTCACGAAGTTTAAAAAAACTCGTATAGTCTCAGATAAAACCACCAACCGAAGACCTACGCAAAAGCGTGCCTTAAACGAAAATAATGTTGTTGAGATCACAATAAACGACGTTGACCTAGCAACTGGACCCACTGATGCAGCTAATTTGTCTCATGTTAGCCAGTACACCGATTTACCAATGCAGAGAGTTAGTCTGTCTCTCGTACCTGTAGTGACCCGAATGCGATGTTTTCCAGTGTAATATCAGAAGCCCATAATAAAACATCTAGTTCTAATGTGAAGGCTCTTAAAAACACTTAAAATAAAAAGGTCTATACCAGTTAAGGAGAAAGCATATACAAAACCTTCTGGTTCTAGACCAAATACCAAAAATATTACGATGGCCCTACCAAACATAAATATACTTTTTGAAACCATGCTTTACTTTACTCATCGTAGGAGAGGTCATAAGAACACACTTCGTTCAAACGTCGCAGGAGACGGCCACCTATTAGACAGACTTCAATAAACCAACGTGCCACCATGGTTACCCTCAAAAGTTTTAAATATTAAACCTGTAAGATGTAACTTTTCTCCTCACTTTCGCAATGGGGAGGATAAAATACTAGGTTACACACCATCAACTCAACCCCAACTCGCAGGCGCCTGTCTTAACTGTCCACCAAGACAATATCAACAAAACCATCCACATAATCAAAATAATGATTTTTCGGCAATTAGAAATCCCTTGTCCCACAAGCACTACATTTTGCTTAAGCTATAGCCCATACGATCAGGCAAACACATTAAACCATAGTCCAGGCTAATCTAGAACACATACCATCGATAGGAATGCTCTCGGTTTTTTTACACTCTATACTCCTTTTTAAACTTATTAGTTGTTAACGCACGTTCACTTCTGAACAAAATTTCAGCCTTGAGAACCTTAGCTTTTCTAGTCAAGCCTTCTTCCATACTTATCACTGAAACATGGAGCTGTCATGCAGTATTCGATTCAGAATTAAATATCCAGAACTATCGACTCTATCGCTGTGACAGAGAAACTAAGCGAGTAGACGGTCGTCTTATATTTGCTTCGCATATCCTAAGGACTAACAAAGTTGAAGACAGCGTCTTGAATATAAGCAAAGATGGATAGTAGCTAGTAGTGAAATCCAGGACGCGCGTTTCGTCCTATTCGGAACTCGTCAGCTGGAGTCCCAGAGTGAACATCAAATCTGCGATTCACACACATCGAGCTGAAGAATCCCAAATAGGACGAAACGCGCGTCCTGGATTCCACTGCTAGCCACTATCCATCTTTGCTTATAATTGCTTGTGAATTAAGGCTATATCGAGTCAATTCACACAGTATGCACATATGCCAATAAGAGATTGATCAGTTGCAGTCCTAAGCATCAATGGGAGAATTCAAACAAACAATACTACGTGAGTGTCTTGAATAGTATACCAGAATAGGTCTGAATATCAATCAATACTCTGAATCATGGTCTACTCCTAGGATGTATATGCAGAGCTCCTGATAGTTCGGATAATGTGGATGATCTAATTATCAATGCATTTCTACATGCATCTGCTCTAAACTTCAGAGCTAAGGTTATCACTGGATATTTCAATTATCGTGGAATTAACTGGAGTACCGGTAGTTGTCAGTCAAGTAATGACTAATCTTCGGCAATCCATAACCTGCACTGCTGGTCACAGTCGGTTCGTACCCCAATAAGGAGTGATAATATATTTGATCTAATATTTAGTAAAGATGTCATCCCATTATCACTATAAGTATACAACGAATTTGAAAGCAGTGACCATATGATAGTAGCTTGTGCTCTCCCTATCTATCCCTCTTATAAATGACCAATTCCAAAAACCTGCCAATATAGAGACTATAAGCATGCCGACTGGGACTTCTTGCGCTCACTGATAGAACTCTCAGAATTAGATGATTTTTTCTCATGTAACTGTCTCATAGATGACATCAACATATTCTGTTTGATTGTTATCTCTTTTCTAGATTCCTATGCACCAATTAAAACGTACAGGTTTAGTAAACTTTACGGATTATATATACCAGCTGAATATATCGTAATATACTAAGATACCTACAGAAAAGTCTAACGACTTCACGGCAGTTGCACAAATAACAATAATTTTTAACCAAATTAGAAACATGGATTAAAAGCCATTAATGAGGAGCTATTAGCACTTAGTACTAGCTCAAAAGTATAAAACTTAATTCTCCTTTTCAATAAACGCGCTGAATGAACTTAAAATGTTGATATACCATGCATTCTGCATAATAACATTTTTATATACGAATCTATAGCAGACCTTTTCAGTGGTATTCTTGCAAATGGCAAAGAATCCATAAGTGGCGCTGTTTCAAGAGTTATATGCGTGACTAGCAACTTAATAAAAACTATCTTCTTGTCGTCGTTGGTAGGCGCATAGCATTGAATGACGTTCATTGTAATGCCTTCACTCTTTGTGTTGAAGGAAGATTTGATGATCCTTGGTCCATGCGATTCCCATCCTATAAGTGCATTTTGTACTTGTTTGGACAGCATCAATGAAACTTTTTTTGTATGTAGAGCATTTTCTTCTTCATGGACGGAGTATAACAGAAGCTCACCTGAAGATAGTCGTTGTTGTAGAACCTGCGTCCAATGTGTTTCATTGATCCCAAACAACTCTAGGATGTATCTCCTCATTTCTGCAACTCTTTCGAAGACTCTCCTGGTCTCCCACATCGTACGAGCATCCTATGTACCTAGATAAATGGTTGCTCTGGTTGTCAGAAGGGACATCGGCTTCCGAAGGAACTTGGTTTTCACCATGAGGCGTCATAGCTCTTCTAAATGAAGAACTTCTAACTCCCAGAACAGAGTTAAAATGGTTTGAATAATTTTTTCATGCTAGCGATTTTTAGCGAGTTAGTTTTCTACGCGGTGAGATGACTAACCTCATGCCCAACCCTTCTCCTTTATCCGAGCATGGGAACAGCAGCAGCCTTCGAAAGGTCTACAGGCGGAGTTAACTCAGGATTAGCTTGCGTCATTGGCTGAATTCATGATAAGGGGTGGAGCAGTTGAACGTACCGACCGCTCCACTTGTGTATTGAGAGTGTCATCAGTACTGATGGTATGGTGTCTGACGAAATATCGGCACAAATTTAGAAGGCTCGATCGACTTTTGTCAACTTGCATCATTAGTGGCGTAAGTGAGATAGTCGTCTGCCAACTAACGTGCGAGTTGACTGTGCAGCAGTTCGCACCGTTCTGCTTTATGGTTAAGGAATATAGACATTAAGAATAGAGGATATTCGTAGACTACTAGTATTCGATCACAGGTGTCTTCGAAGCATTCCACTTGTATTTTGAAACCACCGAGTGAGAAATGCTTGCATTGGAAACACGGTATTAGGAAAGGATGGAGAGTCGACTGGTGAGGTAGTAAATCTTAAAGAGGCGGTTGCGACTTGTCATGTATGCACAACCAAAGCCTACCTCAACGGGCGACATTTTATGATGATGACTGAATCAAAACTAAGGGTGGAAAAACCAAAAACACAGTATCAGTCCGTGGAGACGTCGACGATGGGACTGAGATTCT